TTTTCTGGGGAAACGAAACGCTGTAAGTTACAATACCAGTATTCACGCTTTTTGTTGAAGGTGATCTTGTATCCCCCCGCTGGATTGAAACTCCATACTGCCGCTTTTGTAATTGCGTCCTTGTGTCGGTAGCGCCTCTCTACCTCAGCGTGAATAGCCTTAATCTTGGAAACTTTCTTCACCAGCTAAAATGATAAATAATTAAACAATGAATAAATAAATAAATAAAATCTGATATCTTTAAATCTTAAACAATATTCTTCATACATGCCATATTATGTTTAAACACAAATGATAATTAGGATAACACATATTGAATAACAATAACAACATGGTAAATAAATATACATGCATTGATTAAACACCCCACCAATTTTACCAATTAATCTTTATTCTCTGAATAATGCGTGAAGGATATTTCTGGTGTCCCGCAACGAGATAGTGCTGGAATGCTGCTGAAAGCGGCGTAAAACTAAACTCACTCACTACCTCCATAATATGAGATGGGTTTGTCATCTCAGAAACTCTCAACTGCTTGAGAAGGATTTTCGTGTTACAATGCCAAAATGTATCAATATTGGAATCGTTTCAGAGAGATCAGAGAGAAACTGTTAGATACATGTTTAAGTAATGTTTACTTTAGTTGGGAAAATTTCGTATATGAAAACGTGTGTTTTACTGCCAAGATGCAAGTAATCTTATTTTTGAAAGTGAATAATTTTCCAATTTACCATTACACTCGAAACACATATTGTGGTTAACATATTGATAATTTGTTGTCCTAAAAAAACAAGTGATCTTATTTGAAAGAAAATGGATAATTCAAAATGCGTACTTACATGCCATTAAATGTAATTTAGAAAAATGGTCTTACCTGAGTGGCAGCGTCTTTGTTGAGGTATAGATAATCTGTTTCCCCAAGTGCGTTCAGTTTAGAGATAACTGCGTATCTCTTTCTTGAAGCTGTATGCAAAGTGACACCTACCCTGAGGGATATGGTGTTTTGCACTAAGATTTCTTTTTTTTGTCAGTGCCAGTTGTCGATTTTAGAATTAAGCATTCATCGTCACCTTCGTCTGATGACGAAGGGAGATAGTGAATAGTTTCATCACTATCGTCTGTTGAAAATCCATCATCGTCGTTGAATTTCCTCTTTTAGGCAGGGTCATGCCACTTCCCGATGCTATTGGTTCCATTTTTGTCTCAACTTTGCTGTGGTGCTTTGACGAATGATATGCTCGGTTTCCACAGCATTTATACAGTTTTACACTTAACCCTTTAACTGTTGGGATTCACATTATATAAGATAATTCCCAACAGATGAAGGGTTAATTGTTCCATTATCCAAATATTCATTATTGGTATTTAATTTGTTTGGATAGTGAAAATCCTCTTGTGGAATTTGGGTGTGGGTTATAAGTTCTACATACCCCCCAGAGAGTGTCGCCACATTTCTGATAAGACATTTACGACTATATTTACAAATCATGATAATCTGAGGTTATGTATTCAACTTATATATACCATCAAATATTTTGAGGAAAGGTATTCTTATTTGAAATAGATTAAGCTCTCAGCTTTTAAGCTGATTTGATGAAATTCCTAACGTGGGGGATAGGGTACACAAGCTGTGATGAGAGGTGATAGCTTCAATGTCTTTATCAACGCATGACACAACAAAAACCTTTTATCCTTCATTGTTCCACGGGGATAGCAAATAGGTGTTATGTTCCCAACTACCTTCACATTCTAAACCTGAGTATATCAGAGAAGGAAATATCAGTTCATTGTTCGGTACTTGTTAGCACACTGAAAACCATTGATGTGGTGTGATGTGACATTAGGTTTTACGTCCTGCTTGAGAATATGTCGCTCATATGACGTGTGTGTGTGTGTGTGTGTGTGTGTGTGTGTGTGTGTGTGCGGCTGCTTGTACTAGCCCAGACTAAAACTGGTTTTATAGTGCTAGCCCACTAAGATACCATGCCACAGTGAAGCACGAATACCCCACTCAGACACATTATACTGACTCCGAGCCGATCCGTCCTTGGTGTACCCGTTAATGCCGAGCGCCAAGCAGGGACCAACAAGTATCAAGTCTTTGGGTATGATGCTCTTACCAACTACACCATGGAGGCGGTCGAAAACCATTGAAGACATGGTGGTGGTAATAGAAGGAGAACAGTGAATGCAGTTAAATAAAGTTACTCTTTTTTCCCTTGTGATCTGACTAAGAATAATATATGAAAAAAAAAAAGAAGAAGAAAGAAATGGGAGGATGACTTCATCAAAACTTAGACCACCACATACACGCAGTAACCATAAACAAAACTTAGACCACCACATACACGTAGTAACCATAAACAAAACTTAGACCACCACATACACGTAGTAACCATAAACAAAACTTAGACCACCACATACACTAGTAACCATAAACAACTCAACTACATATTATTTCAAATCTTTATTATGTAACAACAATCATGGCATTCAAATGATATACAAACATTGGTAGTAATACCAAATATAAATAATGAGTTGTGAGAGGTAGTTGATTGTTTGGGGTTTGTTTTGTTGTTGTTGTTGGGTTGGGGTTTTTTAAAGATAAATACTTAGTTGTGATAGGTAGGTCTTGGGGGTATGTCTTAAATATGTACATTTGAGTACTAAACACAGGATATCAACAAATATAATATTTAATAATCAAATCATTCAAATGTAATACAGACATTAAGCAGTAATATCAAGATACAATTAGTTGACAGTATATTGAGTATTAACACAAAAGATTAAAACATATCATCATTAAAACAGACTTATTGTGTCCTGAAACAACATTTAAAATCTCTCAATATAAGAGAACAAATGAAACCAACATCTAAAACACATTTTCTACACAGTTTTTGATTATGACTTGAAGGTGATCTCTCTTGTTCTTTAGAAGTATAATAATGTTTCTGGTATGTCTTAAATAATAAGTATATATATCTGAATATTTAACACAGGATTCATAATGTTGAATAATATAAATAATACAAGTCAATAATTTATTATTTGACAATCATGACATCCAAACGTAATCCAAACAGCACCAGTAATAGCAAACACAAATAATTAGTTGTAAGAGGTAGATAGGTATCTGTTAAGTAAAAAAAACCAGGTTCTATGGATAGTCAACTTAAAATCAAATACAGAACATCAGCAGTAATATTCAAGATAAATACTTAGTTGTGAGAGGTAGTTTGTTTTGTCTTGCTTTTGTTTGAGGTATTGTTTTTGATATGTCTTAAATAAGTACATTTGAGTACTAAACAAAGGATTTAGAACAATATCAACAACACATAAAGTCAATATTATCAATTTAACAATTACGTCATTCAGATGTAATACAGAGATTATAAAGTACAAATGAAATAAACAACTAATAAACTAAATAAATAAATATTGTATTATTAGGAATTATCTAGGACAATCAAATCATCAACTTATGATTAAAATGAATCAAAAAAATGTCTTATAATACTACACTGAGCATAATTTAACAACACAAAGAACATACTATATCATTACGAATTATCCAGGACAATCAAATAATCAACTAATGAATTATGATGAATAAAAAATGTCTTATAATACTACACTGAGCATAATTTAACAACACAAAGAACATACTGTATTATTACGAATTATCCAGGACAATCAAATAATCAACTAATGAATTATAATGAATCAATAACTTGTTATAGTACTACACTAAGCATTAGGTATGGCATATTTCTTTCCACACAAACTGGCTACGGGTTTGCATAAATTGTTTTATTTATTGTTAAGACAAATTACACTAGCAATTAGTTTAGAAAGAGGTTTAAGTTTCAGAACAGTAAATATGATGTTAAAAGATATGATACATAAAATGTGGAATGTTCTTTTGAAACTATAAAGATGAACTCAAAATCTGTCATACTGTAATCTATTTGGTTTAGTTCTTATTCTTATAGATCTACGTGGCATAATCACTTCATTATCTTCTCTTTCAGTTGGTTCATCATTAATCCTACCCAAAGCATTGTCTACAAAGTTATTAATAACAAGAAATATTTTATCTAATATCATCATAATTCTGTTTTTTATTAAAACCAATATGACTCCAAATAAGGCGACTATGCTGCTAACGATGTGTTGTTGAATATCTGAAACAACAATTAAGTACATAAGTATGAGAAAAAGACAAAAAAAAGAAAAGAAAAAGACATCAAACACTGATTAACATAAGATCAATCAGCTTTACACCTTATTACAACCAAATGAGGACATACAATAAGCTTTCTGGAGATCACTTTTGGCAAAGGAGAAGTTCTCCTTACCCACTTTCACTAAATATATAATCATAATCTGATGATTGAAACCAAGCAAAAATATAAAGAATATAAAATGAGTACATAGATGGTTTTAATGTAACCAAAGAGTTATATCAGGGATTAATGATATATTATTATTATCTGATTATTTATCACATATTTGGTTGTGAATGTGTTAGCTCTAGCATGGTGTTAAATATCTGTAATTAATGAATAAATGAAATAACAAATATTAGTAACAAAACAATTAACCATCATAACTCCAAGTACGACAAATATGCTGATAAGGATGTGTTGTTGGAGATCTGAAATTAACAAATAATGCTAAAGGTTACATAGGAATGAAAAATAAAGAAAAAACACTGATTAAACATGAGCTTAATCCAGCTTTACCCCTCCACTAACAGAAGAACATGAAGTTGGTTGACTTGAGATCACTTCTAAAGGAGGAGTAATGGATCTTCTCCTCAGGCCTTGCATTGAAAATTCAGTCACATCAAATTCGGTAACACTTTCAGGAATAGATGCTAATGACGAAACAAATCTTCCTAAACGCCGTGAATGTTTCCTCTTTCTCCAAACAATTCCAATTATTAGTAGAATGATAATGAGAACAGAAATTAGAACAGAGAGGATAATGGTTGCAGTAGTAGGAAGAACTGAAAGGGAATAAATGATAAAAACAATTACATACATGGAATAATATCAGGGATTAATATTATTAGCTGATTCTTCATCACCTATTTGGTTGTAAATGTGTGGTTCTAAATATTCATTGTCTGAGTTATCAATATTGAAAAAGAAAGGTTGAAGTTCCTGAGCTTGAGGAAGTGTTAGTTTTGTCTTAAGGAGAATAATGTGGTCTTAAATGTCTTTAATTGATAAATAAATGATACAACAATTATTAACAACAAAACAATTATGAAAACTTCAACAAGTAAGTTATAAAAATTAATGTGTTTCTTCCAAGGAATCTGATAATTGAGGATATTTGATGACTTACTTGTATGTGATGTAGCAATGGTTATATTGTTAAGCAATGAAGCAGACATAGTAGTATTAGTAGTAGTAGAAGTAGTAATAGTAGTAGGAGTAGTAGGAGCAGTAGGAGTAGTAGTAGTAGTAGTAGTTGTAGTAGTAGTAGTAGTAGTAGTAGTAGTTGTAGTAGTGGCAGCAGCAGTAGCAACAGCAAAAGCACTACTAGTAGTAGTAGTTCTTTCTGTGATAAAAGGAGAGAATAGTTAATTGAGAACATATAAACAGATAACATGTTTAAACTGATAATATCACATTAAGAATATTTACCCTGGAATGTGATGATGTGAGCGGTGGTGGATGGTGTAGTAGTGGTTGTCGTGGTACTTGTGGTAGTGGTCTGCGTGGTACTTGCGGTAGTTGATGTTGTAGTAGTTCTCTCTGTGATAGAAGTATAGAGTAGTTTATAGAGAACATATAAACAAAGAAGATGTTTAAAATCTTCTTAGAAAGGGAAATGATAATATGACATGAAAAAAAAAGAAGAAGAAAAAAAAAATCTTAAACAAAACCCTAAACATTAAAACAACAACAACAAACAAACAAAAACAACAACAACAAAAATTACCCTGGAATGTATTGATGTGAGTGGTGGTAGTTGTTAGGGTAGTGGTTGGAGTGGTGGTTGAAGTAGTGGTTTTTGTGGAAGTTCTCGGGGTAGTTGATGTTGATTGAGTCATTTTCATTGTCTGAAACAAATGTTATAATTTAGCACCAAGAAGTCATAGTTCTCAATAATTTGTTTGCCAATATTACTTTCAATCATTATAAAATTACAACATTGCAAATATTATGAACACAATTCTATGTTAACTTATTATGTATTTATTAATGAATTTATTATAAACTTACAGATGAAAAAGTTGATGGGTAATGTGTAAGTTGACTGCATAAAATAAAATAAAAAAAAATATTTAAAAAAACAACAACAAAAAAACAAAAACAAAAACCCAACATGTTTGTTAATTATTGTAATAGGAACTCATAATTCTAAATATTTTCTTAGCCAATATTACTTTGTAATTGGTAACATTTACAAGTATTGTAAATGACATGTTGTATCCTTAATAATAATTGATATTTAATCTCAATGATAAAACCCCAAAAACAACAGAGTACCTGATTTGGGCAATCGCTACCACCGATTCGTAATCTGGTCTTCCTGGGATAGGTCACCATCTCACATGTTATGGCACTGCCAGTCAGCTGCACAAAGTGCAAATTTGGAAACATGTTTCCATCGATGGTTGTTGATTTCATTGGCCAATTGTCTCCTTCTAGTCGTTTGATTTCAGGAAAGACTTTGTCTTGTGCGAAAACATCACATGGTCGTACATAATTACACTGCATGAATGTTGTAGAAATGAAATCACATCGCTTCGGTTCAGTAGCTACAGTTGTCAACAAAACAATGGCAAACCACCAGGAGAGAAATGACGTCGTCGCCATGTTGAACTTGAAGATACGGACGTATGGATATGTATGACCATAGTCTAAAGTTCCCTACAGTTATTAAGATTAGATTATATTATCATTAAAGTATGCCTAATATCTTTATTTCACTTATATCAGCTCTGACTTATAGTTCGTGGGATAATGTGATAATGTTGTAGTTTCGTATCCATTGATGCTCGCTCGCGACTGAGTGTAGCGGAGACTTTCTTGAAATGGAACATAGCGAAGAAAAAACAAAACAAAACAAAAAAAAAACCACCCCAAAACAACACAGTCAGCTTGGCAAAAGTTCAATATAAAACTAACTTTAAGGATAACAGCTTCTTTTTATTCGTGAGTGCGATGTTTCGATACAGATTCTTGTACCGTTTTTATCCATAAAGTTTGTTCTTTATTGTACTTCCCAACTTCTAAATGCCACTCAAAGAAGTTGTGTTAACGATGTTGAATGCGTTGATCACCGCGCGAGAGATTCATACTATAGTCTTTTTCAAATAATATGATAAACTTTTCTCCTTTTTTTCCGTGAAAGATTATATTCCTCATGCAGAATAAATTTGTACTCTCGCGTAACTTTGATTCTTGGATATAATGGAAAGTACGGCGAAATTCATGTATTAAATAGATGATTTCATTTTGTGTACGTACTTCTTACTTTATTCATTGATCCAGCAAAGAAAATGCCTAATATTCCACTCAAGAATGAAACGTTTGTTGAATAATTATATTTAGTATGCTTGCATGTAATGCAGAAATTCGAACTTTTGTCAGCGAGGAGTGGCATTGCATGTACATGAAAATATCGCTTCGTGACGTTAGTCGAGACTTAATTTACGAGCTTGCATGAAAATTTCCTCGATCCAGCAATTAAGGTTATTCATGAATTTTGATTACAGTTCTGTATATGTTATATAAGAGACTAAGTAACACTGTATCGATTAATAGTCGATAAATAACTATGCTACATTTTGGCTATAAATTCCCGAATAAATCCATTTTCGTTTTTACGATTGCATTTACATTCCAGATCATATAGTGATTCGCTTGGTAAGCTCGCGTGTTGATGTGAATTATATTCATTCACTTCAATTCTGCACTCACGGGGAGCAGATAACGTTATAAATCTGAATTTACATTGTCATTCCTAATGAGACTATGGATCATTCATATTTGCTAAAACTTATGAGGGCTAAGTATACCTCTAGATAAGTGCCATACATTATGAAACGTCACGAATGAAATCTGAAACCATTCAGAACGAAAAGTGTACGATGGATCATTGGTATTTGCTAAAACTTATAAGGGATAAGCATAGCTCTAGATAAGTGCCATACATTATGACACGTCACGAATGAAATCTGAAACCATTCAGAACGAAAAAGTGTGGTTGTGGGGGAACTAATAGTACTACTGCCGGAATTAGTGTAATGTGGTGAGCTATCTATTTGTTGTGAATCCCAGTGGTGCCAACATTAAGTCCACAGCATTTGCACCACAAAGTCCATGACCATAGTTTCTGTGCAGTGTTTAAGACGGTTAGTTCCAGACCGCAACTGATAGCACACAAGTGCAGGCTATCGCGGAATGTATCAATCATAATTAGGGCATCACATTTTACGTTTCTGGTTCTCCGGTGAAGTGTAAAAAAGCGTACAAACTGTACACACTCACACCTAGTTAACTCATGATTGGCTGGTACAGTCAAATATTTACAGATTGCTTTCATATAGCAAGCAAACACACCGGATAAAAAATAATTAAGATTAACACAATGATCTCAGATTGCAAATTGTTTTCTGTTTAAAGGTGTGGACCATGTCCATAGTGATCAGTGAGAGATGACATGTCTATCTAATGATAAGACTGGATAGCTGAATTGATGAAATGTACGACAAAGATCTCAACATACATCTCCTACGGTACTTAAGCATCAAAGAAGAGGCAATTTCATTTCAAACGCACGTTTGATATCTAGTTTGAAAGTTATCCCTGACAAATATTGACACATAATTGAGGTCACATCAACTAATAAATAAGAATAACCACATCATATATGAAAACTGTACTTATGCATCTTCCAGCATTTGCTCTCTTAGCATTTTACATTTAGTCGGACTGCCAAAAGTTCCACCTTAACATGAGGGAGTTTTGATCATTTTGGATATTCTGTTTTGGTTGATGGAGCTGAAAATAAAAATTACGCCACCTTGTTTTACAAGCTATTGATTTTTCTTCACTTTGTTGTTGGTGATGTTGTTGAGATGATTTGGGAAAGTGGCTAAAAAGGTTTTACAAAATCCTCTATTTTAAAGAGTTACTTCTTTGACAATTCTAACAATCTGAAAGAAACAATGGCATTAAAACGTACGGAACGACCAAACCCATCCAAACTAATCTTCATAATTCATCTAAAAGTCGGTTCATAACCACAAACATAGAAATCCGATCGTGGTTATAAACCGTTATCTTAATTTCGGATAGTTGTCTCATGATACCGTCACAATTTGATTGTTCGCTGTGTGAAGTGAATTCTTTGTGTCCTGTAACATGTGTACCAGATACGGTGGCCAAGCTGGTTACGTGGCCTTTAGAACAATATCAGCTACTTGCCAGAATTCAATTGTTTTTAGTTGCAATCCCCTATAGGTCTCATAATAGTATAAGTATAATAAGTATAAGACATATTGAATTAGTGCCAGTTTTGCAGACTGACCCAACACAAAGCCAACAAACACGGGAATTACAGAAATGAGTATAGTTAATCTCTCCTTCGCTGTCAATTATGTGACAGTATTTGATCCACAGGCACAACACAATTAATTCACTCTCCCTCGTGATTAACCAATAATCAGTAGATTTTAGTATCGCGGGGTAGTTGGTGTATTTAAAGATTCATTCCGTCATCGATCGTCTGACATTTTACTCTATTCCTGAGCCCAGTATTAACCATCCTCTCCTCCCCATCGCACATCATCAACAGCTCAATCCTGGACACCATTATCCACAATCTAATTGTCCAACACCGCAAGCCCTATGCCACCTTTTAAAATCAAATTTCAGCTGAAAGCGAAAATTGTCGATTCCTGCTGCCTTTCATTATGATCGTAAATGTAACAAGCAACCTTTCTGTTATTTAAAGAGAACTGTGTTTGGTGAGTATTAGCTTCTAGAATGCACTATGATGCACTTATGGAAAATATTTGAAAAACTACTTCATCGTGATGTTGATAGTATACTGATAACCCTAAAGAATCAGATCATGTTATCGCATTGATGTATTCTAAAAGAAGTATCAGATCATGCGGAATGTAAAAGGAAATTCTTCGATGGTAGTGGTATAATGCTAGAACTTAATTGCTCCTCTAATTATACTTAATAGTTATATACTCAATGGCAAACGTTCTTGTGACACACAAACAACAACAAATAGACTCAGTGTTAAACCTTTACTGGAAATACACGTTGTTACATGGACATGCACATGTTTCAAGGCATGGTAACTATCAACCGTCAAAAAGAACTGTGCATCTGGTGTGGGTTCACAGGCAAGTTCACATGGTCACCACCGCGTTTGTCTACCTGGCGCATTGTCGCAGGCCTGGCACCTTCACCTAACTGAGACCACATAATGTTGATAAACGTCCTGTTGAAAATCATTCCTTATAAGAGGAAGGAATGGGCGGATTTCCTCACCCCATATTATAACGCCGATACCTGGAAGAGTGAGTGAGTTTAATTTTACGCCGCACTCAGCATTTATTCCACCTATATGGCGGCGACCTGTAAATAATCCAGTCTGAACCAGACAGCATGAGATCTACAGCATGAGCATCGATCTGTGCAACTGGAAAACGATGACATGTGTCAACCACGGCACGTGTCGACAACCCGATCCCGTTAGTCGCTCCTCGAAGAGGATCGACTTCCATAATAGTTGGCTAGGGTCCATGCAGGTAGCAACAGTAATGTAAGTCCCCATGGTCCCTGGTATGGTGATCTACCTTCAGTTATTGGCGATTTATAGCCCATTTTTATACTGTATTGTTTTTTCCCCTATAGTTAAAACGTTTTAGATTTAATTACTAGTTTTACATACATATCTGTGATATTCTAGTTGTTTTACTGTCCTTCGTCGGCAGGTTTTTGATAATATACATATATTTCATTTCAATATCAAATGTTCTCGTCACGATGTGGCTGAAATATTGCCGATGTGAGGTTAAATATTAACTCACTCACTCCATAATAGTTGGCATGATGTAACTTTGCCCTGTTCTCCTCTTGGTGAAGAAGGAAACGTGATACATCGGTGAATATCGCAATAGTCATCCACTGTCGACGTCTATGTTCTGGCATCAGAATTGGCTCTTAGGGTGTGTGTCTGGCACGGATGACGTATACGTCTAGTCGCCATCAAACAGTTCATGCAGATACAGCTCTGTTGCCTGGTATGGTATTGGCTGTTAGGGTTGTTGGTTAGGACCAGT